CTGCCGCGACACGCATTGCGAAGCCTCAGACACCTGCGGCCACGCCATCACCTGCACCGCAGCCCGTAACTCCCGTTAACCAGCAGCAAGCTGCTCTGGCTGCTCAGGCAACCCTACAAATGCAATTGCAACAAATGCAGATGTTGCAAATGGCTTCTAGGGATCCTGTTGCATACTATCAGCAAAGTAATGCGTTAGTATTTCACATGGTTTGACTTGTTGACCTATTCTTATATTTTCAGTATCGCAAACATTCGGTCAACCGATGGCAACAGCTCTTCTGGCTCAGATTCAAGCTATGCAGCAGTTACCCACCTCTCAGGCTCAGCAGTATTTGATGGAACTGCAGAGACAACAACAAATAAAGGTTGGATATTGTTTTCAATTTCTTCCCAACCGATAACTGCCGCTTAAATAATGATTTTGTTCTTTTAGCAAGAAGCCGTTGCAACTGCGTCGCCTTCTCCGCAACCGAACCCACATCTTCAACAACAGCAAGAGCGTGAACGACTTCTAAAAGAGTCTCAGTTGCGAGTGCTGCGTGAGCGTGAAGTGCTACAGGCGCAACAACAGGCGCATGTCCAGTCTACTCAACAGCAACAGGCCGCAGTCCTCTATGCCGCGCAGTACCGACAGCAATTGCTACAGCAGCAGCAGCAGCAGCAGCAACAACAACAACAACAGCAGCAACAACAACAACAACAACAACAACAACAACAACATCAAATCGCATCTCAGGTTGGAAGCACTACAGTACTATCCCGGTTCTCTAATTCATTCAGATTTGTTTCATCTCAGCATAGTTCAATTTTGTCATAATAAGATTTTGTTGATTTATAGTATCTCACAGCACATTTTCAGGCATCACCAGCACTTTCTCAACCTCCATCGGTATCGTCTGCTACTATAACTCCTCAAATTATAACAATACAACAGGAGCGAAAGAGCGTAGCAGTACCACCGCAGCCGCGTGCAGTGGAGAGTACAGTGCATACTGTAATTCCGTCAATGCCTGGTGCAACTCCTTCTCCATCTGGATCTACTTCAACACCAGGGCATCATGTTGATGTTGCAAAGGTTAGTCTTCGCAGTGCTAAATTACTTAGTCCTAAACTTTCACTACTGTAGTTTTCTTTTTCTCAAAAGGGTTTTTTTTGGAAAAAGGTTTATGATAATTACGTTTGCGACGAACATGATGGATCGGGATGATTGTTCAAAAAAGGGAATGAACTCAATGTCATTAGTGGTTCTAATGTAATCAGTAAAATTAGGGCCCTCTTCTATCTCTTTACTTTCTCGAGAACGGTAGTGATACTGCAAATTTGTTGATTCCTTTGATTGATTCTGACTTCTCTGTGTATTTTTACATAGTTTTCTGGGCGGTTGGATTGTTTACGGGACGTTTTTTCGTAGCAAACTCCGATGCAACTTTCGGTCGAAGTTGGCCGGTGGCGCCTGGCACGGCTCTGATCGCCGTTCGTTCCATTGAATCAGCGTCTCGCCGTCGGCGCACTCCGCCGCTCGGACGATATCGTGTTGCTACCGTCGAGCGTCGGTTGCGCGCTTTCAGGGCATAGTAAGTGCCGCAATGCGTGCGCTCGCCCCTGCCGGCTGTAATTCGCGCCACGCGCGAAGTGTCTGTCGTCTCCGTCATGCGCTCGCTGCATTCAGTACGCGCTCACTACGTAGTCGTCTCGGACGCGCTCCGATCTACTTAGCTCTTTCAGCTGTCTCGAAGCGGCGTTTTTGGGGCGGGGAAGGGACGTAGGGGTCTCTGGCTCTCTCGCCCTCTCTCTCGTACTATCGGTGAATTATTTGCCCGCTGGAAGGAACGCCTTGCTGTAGTGTGTGAGTGTGCGGTGCGGCTGCTTTCATACTCGGGCTTAACAACTCGCATTCGATTTCGGTTTCGAACAAGACTATGATCTGCCGGATGTGACTACCTCAGGTGTCATAACATCAACAGCCTTTTATCTAATCTACCTCAACAACCTCATCTACCTCAACCGTCCGGTCCTTCTAAACAGGACTAGGACTTCTAAATCGGGTGTCGCACTAGGAACTTATTTTAATCTTATTTCACCTACTTACACTTGCTATTCATCATCATCGACCATACTTCATCGGTTCCTGTTACACTACTGTCTCTACCTACTATTATCGATCTCGCCGTAATTTGCAGTATACATAGCGAGGTTATCTGAAAACAAGGATTCACTCTATTAATTGTACACTTTACTGCTGTGTGCATCTTTCCATCTCCCATTCGCTGTGCCCTTTGTGATACATATTGAATGAGCACTAACGGTTCGCCGCTTCGAGCGACAGAGATTGGTGTAAAGCGAAGTCGAAAAGCGACTGAACCTCAGCATCTTTCTTCTTTTTGCATCTCTTCTTCCGACGAAGCTATGAACCCAGCAGCAAACCCTTTGTCCACCGCTGATGCCCCGGCAGTGGGAGATCAGACAATGAATATCTTGAATCTAGCAGGTGCAATTGCAATGAATAGCCTATTGGCTATGAACCAACAATCCGCAATTGGTAGCTTTCCTGCTGCGGCCCAGCTGGCTGCGCAAAATCCTCTCCTTGCCAATGCAGCAAAAATGATGTTGAGTATGAATTTGATGAATGCTGCCGTCTCTGGTAATACCGATCGTCCTTCCGCCTCGAATCCAACTGCGGAGCTGCTTTCACTGATTACCTCGCAACCTGAGACTACCGCGCATTCTGTTGCAAATCTGCAGCAAGCAATGCTCATTCAACAGTACGCCGCACTGGCTCGAGGGCAGCTTTCTGCAGTCAATCCGCAGCTGGCTGCGCTTCAGATGTTGAAACAGCGAACGGCCGACAATGGGACTAGTCAGCCAAATGATCGAAAACGCTCTTATCCATCTGCGGAATTGCCGAGCCATATTGAAGAAATGAGAAAACGCGTCTTCTCTGACACCAGCGCGCCCAACATCCAGCGCAAGTCTGAGAACGTTTCCATTTCTCAAATACCCTTTTCTAAAGATGATATGGAAAGGTGTTTGGAGAGGATTCTCAACGAAGAGATCTACAATATATATGAGGATGATGTGAAACCAGAGGTGAAAAGTGAGTCAATGAGGTCTTTTTCAACGGATGTTGATAGCAAAGAGACTGGTTGTAGTAGTAGCGGCAGCTCTTCTCCAATTGAGCGCAAACTTTCCATAGATGAAATCTTAGACATCATCGCCAGTAGACCACAAGGCAAAGACGAGAGTGGAATTGCTTCGGCTGGATCGGC